CTTGACAGGGCCCTCGCATGCGCCCGCCCTGCGGCTGCTGGTCCAGACGGGCTCCTATATCTTGCTCGGGCTGCCCTCCCAGAGCAGCTAGATATCTTGCACGACTTGATGTTGCACCTCTTCCGAGGCGACCCCGTCCCGCTCGAATTAAACGATTCTGTGTTTGCATTCCTGCCGAAGGGAACGCTACGGGAGGATCTTTTCCATTGCGTTCGTCAGGCTAGCAAGGTGAGCCCCCTCTCGTTGCGCAATACTGACAGCAACATCGTAGCGAGCGCTGCCAAAGTGCATCCTGTCCAGCGCGGATTCGTCACAGGCCGCAATTTCGTTCGCAACATCATTAGCATGGACGCCTGGGCACGTGCCCATCGTCTAGATACGAAAGAGCGTGTTCTACCGCTGCTGGCGGAAAACCGGGGGGGGTCACTACCGGTTCGAACCCCTCCCCCCCCCCCCCCCCCCCTCCGGAAAAGGGGGGGGGGTCACTACCGGTTCGAACCCCTCCCCCCCCCCCCCCCCCCTGATGAAAAGGGGGGGGGGTCACTACCGGTTCGAACCCCTCCCCCCCCCCCCCCTCCGGAAAACCGGGGGGGGTCACTACCGGTTCGAACCCCCCCCCCCTCGAAAACCGAGTGGGGGTGCGGACAGTGGTGGGGACGGTGTTGGTGGGGACAGTGGTGAGGGGATAGCGGGACAGTGGTGGGGACAGTGGGACAGTGGGACAGTGGTGGGGACGGTAGTGGTGGGGACAGTGGTGGGGACAATGGTGGGAACAGGGGGGGACAGTGGACAGTGGTGGTGACGGTGGTGGTGGGGACAGTGGTGTGGGGACAATGGGAATGAGGTGGAAACAGTGGGACAGTGGAGGGTACAATGGTGGTGGGGACAGTGGTGAAGGCGGTGGCGAGGACGGCGGTGGGACAATGGGACAGAGGTACAGTGGGGACAGTGGTGGGGACAGTGGGGACAGTGGTGGGAACAGTGGGACAGCTCAGTGGGACAGCGGAGGAGTCAGTGGGACAGTGGGGACAGTGGGGATAGTCGGGCAGTGGTTGGGGCCGTGGAGACAGTGGGGAGAGTGGAACCGTGGTGGGAACAGTTCTGGGGACAGCGGGGACAGTGCGACAGTGGTGGGGCCACTGGTGGGGACAGTAGGGGCGGTGGTGGAACCAGTGGGGACAGCGGTGGTGAGGACAGTGGTGCTGGGAACACCAGTGGGGGATGTGATGCGGACGGTGGTGGGGACCGGGAGTCGTTTGCTGGCGGTGAGTAGGGGGGGGGGGGGGGGGGGGGGTTCGAACCGGTAGTGACCCCCCCCGTTTTCCGGATCCGGAGGGGGGGGGGGGGGGGGGGGGGGAGGGGTTCGAACCGGTAGTGACCCCCCCTCGGTTTTCGAGCGGGAGGGGGGGGGGGGGGGGGAGGGGTTAGGGGAGGGGGGGGTTTTGGGGGGGGGGGTGGGGGGGGGGAGGGGTTCCAGCGGGGGGGGGGGATTTTCGGAGGGGGGGGGGGGGCGACCCCCGGGTTCCGGAGGAAAAGGTTGGCAATTTTCCACAGTAAAGCGGCGGTGGATCACGCTCTCTCCTAGATACCAATGCTGATGTCAATTGGCCATGCTTCATAGCATTCGACATTCCTGCTGCTTTCCCCTCTGTATGTCGCCAGTGGCTTTTCGAGATCCTCCGCAGGCAGGGCGTGCCCGAAGGATACCTTAACCTCCTTCGCTCCCTCTACTTCTGCCCGAGGGGGTTCGGTAGGTTTCATGGCGAGTTCCACCTTATGTTTTATGTATGCCGTCGCGTACTTCAGGGATGTCCCCCGTCGGGGTCCGTGTGGGCTTCGATCTTTGACCCCGTGTCGAGGCTGCTTTCCGAGGCTGTTTATCACCCGCCAGATGGAGACATCCCCGGAGAGGTAGGTGGGTGTGCAGATGACGTGGGCACAGTTCTACCCCAGCTCCGCATTCTTAAAAGGATCATGCCCCATTTCCGACATATCCAGCGTTTTGCCTTTCTTAGGCTGCAGCAGGTCAAGTGTTGCATCGTTCCATTATGGGCTGAATGCACACCTGCTTTAGCCGCTCGCATCCGTGCTTGGATCGCCCATGAGATTCCTGAGTGCCTGAAGTTCGATATCCAGGGGTGCACGGGCTACTTGGGCGTTCTGTTTGGGCCGGCAGCGGAGTTGGAGCATCAGTGGCACCAGTCAAGTTTCAAGTTGTGGTAGCGTACTATTGACTTACTCTCCTCTCGTGCTGCTCCTCATCTTCTCTCTTTCCAGTACAACGTGTTCGCTGCCAGCACGCTCGGGTATTTGGCACAGTTTTTCCCATGTCTCCGAAGGTTCTCTGCCGCGAGGCCCTGGTATGACACAAGATTTTCCGACTTCCGCAGAATTCGTTCACTTGCTCAGACCTGCTGTCCGTCGGGCTGTGTCTCACGACTGCTCCGAAGTCTGTTCTTGTCCTCGGCATCTCTGCGGCGTGGAGAATATGTTCGCATATTGTCACCGACTGGATGTCGGCACTAGAGCACCTTCGTGCTGCGGTTGACCGTGCTTGCGGCACTGTCGCCCTCACGGCCCCACGGTGGGCCGCCAGGGTATGGTGCGCGGCATGTTGGCGCAGGCCGATGGCGATTGTTCAATACTTCGACTCCCTCACCCGCTCCACCCCCTTGTTGTCGTTCACCGTTGTGACCACTCCCTCGTCTCCACTGCTCCGATCCCCCGTCGTGTATGGGACAACGCCAAAAGTGCGGGACTGCGCGAGTTGCGAGCGCCCGCGCAAAATTCAGCGATCTATCAGACGCTCGCTGAATGAGGCCACGTACCCCGACAAGTTTCACGCCACCATCGGCCGCCGCCTCGAGTCCTGGGGCATTCCAACCCCACCCGATTTAGTTGCTAGATGGTCCTGCCTGAAATCGACCCTCCGCCAGGTTCAGCCGAGTTGGCGTTGGGCTGCCCTGAAAACTATTTCGGGGGGCGGACCATGAATGCCAGAGTGCACGTGTCGCGTCGTTCAAGAGATTGCATTTTCGGGTGCGGATGCCGTGACGAAATCTCACATCACCTCAGGTGCGAGCGCCTTCGTCACTACGTTGCCCTCAGCTGGATGCGGCTCGTCTTTCCCTCGGACCCGCTTCTCTGGATTGACCTTAGGGGTCTTGCAGACTGCGGGACCGAGGTTTGTGAGGTCTCTGCAATCACACCATACTTACGCCTCCGCCACGCGAGTGACTTGTGCCGCGCGTTTGGCGCTTCGCGCTTAGTTCGGTCATCTGGAGAGCCCGCCCTCGGACTACGTCGACTCCTCCTCCTCCTCCTCCTCCTGCACCTTCCTCTGAATCCCTCCTGGCAATCCTTCTTCCTGCCCCCCCAGCTCAAGTTTCTGAGATAACTTCCCTGCGCACCTTGGAAGTCCTCCCTCCCGGGCTTGCTCGCTCCTCCTGGGCCCCCCGTCCTCCTCCCAGCGCTCCTCCTCCCTTGCCCTTCCTGCTCTCCCTCCTCCTCTCTGCTCTTCCCAGAGTTCCCATTCTCCTCCCTGCTTCCTCTTCCTGGTTCCTCCTCCTCATTGACTGTTCCTCTTGGCCTCCTCCTCGTTCCTTCTCCTAGATCGCCCCTCCTACGTTGCAGGTTTCCGTGACAGGTGCCCTGGGGTATCTCGACGTATTCCCCGTGGCCAGTTTTTCATCCCGAGTCGTTTTCTGACAGTCCTGGGCCCAGTGATGGCACTCCAGAGATGGCAAACAGTTTCCCGTCGAGTTCTTCAGGATGCGGGGGGTGCTTCATGGATTCAGAAGTCGCCCCCCCGACCTCTCCTGGGGGTGCCTTCCAGCTAGAAATGCGAGGGGGATTCAGCCCTGCTGGCGAGGAGCTCCTTCCCCTCCTGAGGCCCAAAGTGGGGGAGAGACAGCCCCAAACCTCAAGCCTCGAACCTCGCTCTTTGGTCGAGGGCCGGATCGCCCGATCCAGACCTCCGATATTTGGGATGTTTTCAATGCCTCGTCCCTGGAAGTCTCGCCTCTTTCTGCTTCTCATTCCGAGCCGCTCCCTGACGGCCCCAGGGCCCAGTGAGGCCGAACGCGGCTGACTTCCGCGGTCCTGATTTTTCCCTACCTAGGCTCTGCCTAGAAGGGTTCTTACTCTCTAGCTTAAAGGGCCGGGCAGTGGAAAGCGCCCTGGGCGGTTCCCCCAGTCCCCGCCCCGCGGTTC